CGCCAACCTCATCCAGCATTTCATCCACTTTCTACAAACATGTACCTTGTCCCCATGATCCTCCTCCTACAGGTACCCCTCCCTCCAACAAACATCCTAATCGAGGTCCCCCCCTCCCTTACATTTTCCCCCACATACTGTATATGTACATTTGTATGGCCGAGTTCGGGCGGCTTGTTCCCGTATGTTCACGAACAGTTCGATTTGTTGTTCACGGGTCGGCCGCTCGAACGCCGGGAACAAACAACTGGTTATCACTGGTAGTTTGTGACAAGCAACATGCAACGTGGCGGCGTCCATGTAGGCTACGTCATTCGAGAGTTAACGTTTGGATGGGCTGAATTTTTTCTATATAAACCGGAACATTCATTTCTCTGTTACGGAAAATAATTAATGTTAATTTTGCAAAACTTCCCATTGTCTATGGCTTTGAAAGCCATCTCTCTACTTTTGCAGCTGTTCAAAAATCAGAATCTCACGAGTTTTTCGTGTGTTCCTGTAAAACCCTAACGAGGAGGTGGTGTGTGATCCTGTTCCGAGAACAGTGCTCTTGAGTCATGTTCCTAGTCTACATGTATGTCTACATATGTACATTGCAGGAGTGCTCAGCGCATGCATGTGCATGTACCTGTATGTACTTGATGTACTACCGGGTAAGTACGGGTATGCAATACAACTCAAAACGTTAACATTCAATGTTTATAATTTTTTTCATTAAATTCATAAGTTTCTGAGCATTAATTTCATATGAGACTATTTACATGTAAATTCTGATGGAGTTCCAAGAGGAAGCAAACAAGCACTCATTGGCACATTTAACATCTATGGACCTGCAAGGAAAAACTTTAACATTTGAGGACGGTGGGACGGACGGACAGACAGAAGACGGCAATTGGTATTACATAGGCCTGCATTTGCCTCGCAGCCAAAAAGCAGTCGATGGCAAAAAGGAAAAAAACCATTCGGACAGCTACATGTAAGCCTGTCAGTACAGTACTGCCACTACAAAAAGTATGCTACATGGACTATTTGGGCCAGGACTAATTATTCATTGGAATAAAAATTATGATTAATCGTACATACATGTATACGGGTATACGCACCTTGGGCCATCCGAAAAAGGTGCTCTTTGGTAGAACTGCTCGTACTGGTTAAACAAATTAAATTTGTGCTAAGTTCCAGCTAAAACAATGGCATTTTTGAAGCTGCTTTTTTTTAAACAGCTAAAAGTGAACTTTGGGTCTTGCAACTTCAATTTGTAACTGCAAAATTTTGCACATACACATGTACACATCTGTGCCATGCGGTACTGTGGACTCCCAACCCTCTAGCATATCACTTGTGGTGCAGGACTCTGATGTACATGTACATGTATAAAATACAATGCTAAGTGGTACATGTTATTTGAGGCTGAAAAGCTTGCACAATAGAATAATACTTCCCAGCACCAGGCAGCCAGGTTGTGTATTCACACAAGCTTCACTTTTGCTGCTGGGTAGTATTTTGTGGCTTCCATGCCTGAAGAGAGGTTAGGGCTAACAGTGTGTACATCAACAGCCCGTCTACATGCATGTCCTTTTGCATCCACCCACCTGACTGCATTGTAGAGAGGGGTTTAGAAACCTCTCATTGAAGAGAATGCATTTATAATACAAAAAAGTGCTGCCTTTGTGTGACTCAGCACTTTTTCAATGTTATTTGCAACTGCCGTCCCCGCATCCACAGTGGGTTACATCATATTAGTCAGTTTCTGTATCAAAGTTCATGCTATACACAGGTCAGAGTTTTGCTGCAATGCTCCACTTTGGCAAATTCTAGTGCCTCAAGGGTAGGGTTGGCCAAAACCGCTCTAGGAAGCCCAATTTTCAAATCAAAGCCTATGATCTCCGGCAAAACACCTGTTCTTTGAAAAAACGAAAGACTTCTGAACTCATTTCCGTCCCCAAATTGGGCAAAGTCATGTCCTCAGTGCAGTATACCCAGGGATGTACCACAAATGGAGAAGAAAAATAGATTTAGCAGTGTTTTCCCGTTTGCCCATCTTATCAAGATTGCAAAAGCCCCCCAAAACAGTGGGGACTATATTTTACAGTGCAGGGGCCCACAATATGATTTTAGCTAAAAAAAACTGGCTTCAAAACAATATGCAGTTTTTTGAGCAGGATGGCACAACTGCATGTACCAGTACAGGTCCTATCACATTTCAAAGCCTGGTTTTCAGATGTCCCAGGGTACTTCAACAGAGAAAAAGATTAAGACCCCCTCCAATTGCTTATACCGGTCAAAGACTGTGGAAAATTCGATCCACTTGATTTGCCACAGTGCACAGACACACAGGGGTCATTTGACATCATTTTAAGCAGATTTTTTTCCCCCAATAAACATTTCTAGCCCACAGACTCTATCAAAAATCAGTGCACTGAAACACATTCAGATGAGATTGGTTATAAACTGCTGGAGGATATATGGTTACATCATCAAAGGTAGGTTATGAAATGAGGATTACACAAGTACATGTACACATATCAGTGCAAGTTCAGGAAACAAATCACTTAGTACATGTAGTTTGAGTGTGTGGACCCAACTGAGTGGATATTTCCCTGTTAATAGCTAAACAAGGGCTTGACCATACTTTCAAGCAGCACGTGTGTGTATGCACAGGTAGCGCCAAGAGTCTACTTCAAATACTGTATCACTCCGACTTCTGTAAGCAAGATAAATGCGTCTTTGCTGGGTCATACTAATCTGTTCAAAGTACAGGCTGATGCAATCTCCTCCCAAAACAAAATTAATGAAGGGTTTTGACCCATATTGCTCCAATGGTCAAAGATACATGCAGCTTCACTAATAGTAGAATTTTTTTGCACTTGACATTGTGAAAGTCATGAAAATATTGCCAATTCTCAGACACAGTGAAACACCCCCAAAATCACTCCAAATTTGAACACCCGCATTTGATACAATGAATCTGAATAAACTAACAATATAATCAAATAAACATAATATTAAAAATTGCAATTTAAGCATTGAAAGAGTCACTGAAAGAATCTTCAACAAGGACAGTGTACAGTATTTGATCAAGTGTAAATATCTACATCGTAGTGCATTGTATGAGTTCGGTTTGTCTGTCTGCCTGAGGTTGCAGGTTTAGTACAGTACAGACTTTTTCTTCCCACACAATCTCAAAAGTCAGTGTGGGTGGGCCTTCACCAAATTCAGGGGGCAGTTTTTCTTTTGTAACGAAAGATTGGACTGAGTTGCAGGGACCGACATATGTCCCCATGACATCAAATTTCAACATGTGCGTTATTCCCCGTTACCCAGTGACAAGTACCAGCACATGAACTGGTACACACAAGAACAGCAAATATGATATTCAAATGTGCAATGCCCTGTGCAAGGAACGGGTTACAGTGTACCAGTGTGCATGTACATGTATATACATGTCCATGTACATGTATGTACAGTACTTGCACATGGTACAGGCCCTGTGCCAACTTACTTGTGACTCATATTTACCTGAGGAGCCCACTGGTCTAGCCCATGGAGGACTAAAACCAGATTTTACTAGCCTGTATACATGTACAGTGCATACACTGTACACTCTAAGAGCAAGACACAGAAAACTGTGTAAGAGTTCATAAAGGGTGCAGACCACTAATTCAAGTGAGAATTTCTGACCAGCTCATTCGCGTTAAAAGTGCCCCCACAGTATCTTTTGAAAAAGGAGATTGTTTGGCCCCCAAAATGGTGAGATTGTGTAAATCGTTGCCAGGATCAACTCCCTGGGTCTTTGGGCTTTCATATGACGGCAGGAGGGCTAAAAACTACGGTTGAAAAATGGTCCTAAGTGCCCGAGAAAGTTGAGGGTTGCCCCTTGAAAAAT